GGTCGACAGCGTCGGTAAAATCCACTAAAATCTTCTGAGAATTTTCGTCATCCGCCATTCGTCCAGGACTAACAATAGCGTGAGATTACTGAACCACATCTGAGTGGGGTATTTAAAGCGATCACATTGATAAGAAGCGAACAAAAAGTATTTTGATTTAGAGACATGCGCCGAACCGTGAAACCCTTCCTTTAAACGCTTCCATTGCCGATATATATTTACGCAAATATTTATTCTTCCAGGCTCATTCGATTCACGCCCCGTGATTATCATTAAATCCACTGTTATCTATTTTTAGAGACGTATTACCAAACATTTTAGACTGCTAATACTTTAACCTTGATTTAAGAGTAAAGAGAAGAGAGTAGAGAAAAACGCCTTACTGCCGCAATACTCGATGTTTGATCATTGTCATTTTGGTTTCATAAATTTACAGGGATTTTTTGATATTTTCTACCCAACCCCTCAAGTATCTAATATTCAAAAGCGAATTCTAGACTTAGTTTAAAATATCATCACCCCACCTCGAGACAGAGTTTAAACGAAGTTTAGTCGATCATTGATATTAACAAACTCTTTATTTACAAAGATTACGACTTCTTACGGGCACAAAGGAAAACATAAGAACTCAACATTACAACAATCTCTGCAGTAAGACTCAGTCATTATTAACTGATTAAATAAATATTATTTTAATGGTTCAAAATGTTTGTAATTATTTTTTGCCTTAAAGAATTCTAACAACAGATTTTAAGTAAGGTTTACAAAAAAATCAACACCAAAGCTATATCAGCAATGACTTGTGAACTTTGTCTATCCAGCTTAAAACGTTTCCTTAAGATTTCTCATTTCTCTCTATTGTTCTAATACTTTAATTCAAGATCTGGTTTTTGGTGCTTCAGACTTCTAAGATATTCTCTACCAGTATCGGTGATCTGATTCTTACCCATGTGTAGTGTGGTTACTTGACAGGTTGTTGACTGTAATGCCTGACTCAAACTGGCAACACCGGCATCAGTGATCTGATTTTCACCCAGGTATAGTGAAGTTATTTTACAGGCTGGTGACTGTAATGCTTGACTCAAACTAATAACACTGGCATCAGTGATCAGAATGCGCACCAGGCCTAGTGTGGTTACTCTACAGGTTGGTGACTGTAATGCTTCACTCAAACTTTCAATACCCGCATCAGTGATCTGATTACCATCCAGGCGTAGTGTGGTTACTTTACAGGCTGACGACTTTAATGCTTGACTCAAACTGCGAACACCGTCAGCGGTGATCTGATTAGCACTCAGGTATAAATTGGTTACTTTACAGGCTGATGACTTTAATGCTTGACTCAAACTTTTAACACCGCCATCGATGATCTTATTACCAGTCAGACTTACTCCGGTTACTTTACAGGCTGATGACCGTAATGCTTGACTCAAACTACTAGCACCGGCTTCGGTGATTTGATTATTTTGGAGGCCTAATATGGTTACTTTGCAAGCTGGTGACTGTAATGCTTGACTCAAACTGGTAACACCCTCATCAGTGATCTGATTACCATCTAGCTTTAGTCTGGCCACTTTACAAGCTGGTGACTGTAGTGCTCGACTCAAACTGGTAACACCCTCATCAGTGATCTGATTACCACTCAGGTTTAGTGTGGTTACTTTACAAGCTGGTGACTGTAATGCTTCACTCAAACGGGTTACACCGGCATCAGTGATCTCATTTTCCTCCAGTGCTAGTTCAGTTAATCTACTTGAAACTAATTCTTTGATGCAATCGACGCATTCGTCATTTAAGCCACACTTACTCAGCGACAGTGTTTTGACGGAACGAAACTCTTTTTCCAAAGATTTACAGATTCGTTTTATTCCCGACTGTGTTAGATTTGACTTTGAGATGCTCAACTCAGGAAATGGTCTATGTTTTTTAGTGTCTTCTTTATTCAGTTCACCAAACACACTTAACAAAAACGAAACAGCAATACAGTCCACATCAGTTAAGGAATGGAATCTGCGAAACTTGAATTGAGAGGAATGTTTCTTTATGATATTTTTTGCGAAATCTTTTTCTTCATACTCAGCGAGACACTTTACTCTGTTGAGAAGGCCCCGACAGCCGCTTTCATCTGATTGCAGTACTTCAAGTAATTTCTCCATGAATTTATTGTCTCTTTTCTTCGATAAAATACCAGCCATGAACTGCATAACCATTGAAGACACTTTTCGTGTGGAGGGAATCTCTCCTCTCTCCACAAACCAACGAGCCGCCAAATACTCCTGTAGAGTAAGGTGTGTGAAACAAAAATGTTTCGTCTCTTCAAAGGCAGATTTCCTGAAAGGAGGACCAGAATGAAGAATGCCACTTGCTCTCAGGCTTTCAACTTCACGTAAATCAAACTTTGTCATGTCTTCTTTAACAAAAAGAAACTTCTTCTTTACAAGCAATTCAGCTGCTAGCTCTGAAAGCTTATCCAGTGTGCTGCTTTCAGATGGAATTTCCTTTCTCTTGTGGTCCAGTAGAAATTTGTTGAAAACCTCAAAATAAAGGTCACTTGCTTTGACAGGGAGAGAATCAGCGCTCAGTGATTCCGCTAGAAGATACTCCATGTAAGAACAC